GGGTAAAAATGGGAGTTCATAACCCTTTTGAATCAAACTGTGAAATATGATATATCAAGTTAGATGTAATGTTTTGAACGACCAATAATAAAAAAAAATTTAAAAAAAGAGGATTTTTACCAGAGGCTATCTCCAGGACAGCAGCTACACCTATGAATTCCTAATTTTAAATCACATCCAGTTATGCAGAAGGCAGATGTCATAAGCCATTTACCAACCAAAACAGAGCAGTTTAGGTACCTGCTGCATTTCTTTCTTCATAGTACCTCTTTTGCCTTCTTCCTATTCTCTTTTCTCTCTCCTTCCTGCTTCTCATTGCTCTTATAATTATTCTGTCAATTACAAGACTTCAAAGTCAATTACCTTTATATGAAACCAATGTAATTAACCAATTGCACCAAATTTTGTTTTGGGAGACAATGTCTTTCTTTTTGTTTTGCAGGGCTGGAGATTGAATCCAGTACCTTGTACATGCTAGCCAACCGCTCTACCATTAAGCTATATGCCAAGCCTAAGACAATGCCTTTTTTGACTTTTCTATGCAATTATCAAGTCATCTTATGTCCTTGAAAATTTTAAATTTCTCAAATAATTCCAATATGTGCCTCTGGTTCCCAACCACTCTCTGCCAATTTTATTGCCTATCACTTACCTCCCTCCACACCAACCCTCTCTCAACCAAAACTAATCTGTTTCCAATAGCCTAAATATTTTTCTTTTGGTGTTCTTACTCCTTCAGAGGGCCCTCTGCACTTTCTCTACCTGTCAGCAAACTAAAAGATCTTTAAAAAACAGTTTGAGGGGCTGGGATTGTGACTCAGTGGTAGAGCCCTTGCCTAGCACATGTGAGGCACTGGGTTCGATCCTCAGTACCACAAAAAAATAAAATAAAGGTATTGTGTTCACCTACAACTAATTAAAATAAATAGATAAAACACAATTAAAAAAAACAGTTCGAACACCAACTCTTCTTCAAAGTCTTACCTTACTCTCCAAATATATGAGTAAAAAAAAAAAATAGTGGAAAAGAGAAGAAAATATGTGGATGGATTCAGGAAGCCTCAAGGGCTTAAAGTTGCAAGATCAGATTCATCCCTGAGGAGCTAGGGATGTGGAAGAAAAAGATTAGAGTAACTTCCTTTACTTCAATTCTGTCTTTGATCAGGTCAGCTGTTGAGCGCAAACTAAAACCACCATCTCTCTGGGCCTCAATTTTCCTCTCAAGTCCTCGCAGAGGAAAACCATGTACCCCCTTTTGTCTCTGTCCTCTAGGGTTACATCAAGAATAGTGACAGACTGCCCAACTCTCCAAATCCTTCACAACCTGTAGAATGAGAAAGGCCCAATCCCGTGCATCAAGACTTGAGTCATGGTCCCTAGAAACTCCAAGCTGGCAGGACGCTAGGACACTGCGCACACAACGCGCCGCTCTCGTGAGGCCGCCCGGGAACTGCTATCCTCCAGGTTACAACAAGAAATTTCGACTCCAGGCCTGTTTCGCCAAGCCGTTAGGGCTTCCGGACCCTGGGTCCCTGGGTCACTTTGTGTTTTATTTCCCCGCGCCAGAAAAGTGGGGCCCTTGCGCTCCTCTGAGTTCTCCTGATGCCTCAGGCGCCCCCTCCTGCCCAGACTCACCGCTTGTTGAGGGGCCGGACCCTCACGGCCACCTGCACATTCGCCATCCTTCGGTTACAACTCAATCCCCGGAGGTCAGTCCAGTCTAGGCATCCCTAGCCCAGCCTAGCCAGGGCCAAGCCCAGCTCCACCCCCAGCCGACCCCGCCCGCCCGCCCCACGCGCCTCTCGGGACACCCACGCCCAAATCCGCGCCACTGCCCAAGAGAGGCGGTGCCGCTGAGCCTTAGCCAATCCGGAGCCAGGTAGGCACGCTCGGCCACGCCCCTCCTCGTCTACCCCCTCCCTCCTCCCCCGCGCCGCGGCAGCTGGCTGGAGGTGTCCGCAGAGTTCAGGCCTGACCGTGCGGCGCGGAGGCTTTGTTCTCGGACTTGGAGATCGTGCTATACTCAAGTAAATCCATTAAATTTTGATTAATGTTCAAACGTTTATAATTTGCCAAGCATTTTTATTCGTTGTGCTGGCCTGATATGTCAATGCTGCGGCAAAAAAGAAACGGGCAGAAACTGCTTTCCAGCAGAGTATTCGGAGTATGAAGAGGAATTTGAGCGCTGAGGAGCTCCCTTGTACAGAACCTCAAGGCCACCGTGGCAGTGTTTGTAGTAGTAGAGGAAATGCCGTCTTATCAGAATTAGTTTACTAATTTATCCAAGAAATACTATTGCTTAGCTACAAAGTGTCGAGCACTGATTTAAAGCCCAAACACAGTGACGAACAAAACAAAGTACCTGCCTTCTTGGAAATTACAATCTGCAGGGAAGGAAAAAGGGACAAACACCTAAAATATGACATATAAATATATAAATGGTTCTGCTTAGTGCAGTGAAAAAAAAAAAAAAAGGCGGGCGGGGAGGGAAACCAGGCGCGATGACCCACGCCAGTAATCCCAGGCACTCTGAGGGATGACGCAAGAGGATCAACAGGCTAGCCTTGTTCATCAACTTAGGGAAAAAAATTTTTTTTTTTTTTAAATTTTTAAAAAGGCAGGGTTGGGGGGGCTGAGCACGTATCTCCGTGGTATAGCGCCCCCACCGGGTTCAATCTCCAGTATGCAAAAATAAACAAGAAAACATAGTAAATAGCCTTCGTGTATATGAAGGGTGAAAAGTGCTGTTTTGCACAGCATCTTCCAGAAAGCCTTCACTGATAAGAGGACATTTGAATAAATTTGAAGAAAACAAGAAAGGAAGTCATGCAGATACTCAATTGTTTAACAAATATGTCCTAAGTAAGCTCCTATCAGAGTAGGCTTGGGACAAAGAAGTGAAGAAAATAGGCAAAACTTCTAGGCTCATTGGAGCTGGGATAGAGAGACTGATGATAAGCAATTTAACTAAAATGTATATCAGATTAGCTAATAATAAAAAATAAATCAGGACAGGGAGTAGAAAAGGGCCATGAAACTTCAGATAATATAACCAGGAAAGACTTCAGTGACACCTAAGAAAAATATGAAGTATATAAAGAAGAGTTGGGCTATTGTCTGGAAGAAGGGCAGACACAGGCATGAGCTTAGAGACAGACTAAAACGTTAAAACCAATAGGAAGAAAGCCAGGGCAGGTAGAATAGAGAGGTGGAAAATCATGGAAGTATCATGAAGGCATGGTAGTCTGGATTTTTTTTCTTAATGAGCTGGGAAACCATAAGAAAGTTTTGAGGAAAAGAGCAAAACGATTTGGTTTATATATTTATACTCTGACTGCTGTTTTGACACTAGCCTGAGAAGTAAGGGTAGAAGCCCAGAGACCAGTTAGGTGGCTATTTTAGTACTCTAGCAGTGGAACACGAGTCACATTAGTCCCCTTTTTCTCATCTATCTAGAATAAGGTACTTGGATAACTGGTTTATAATTCAAGCTCACTTGGAACCCTGGTATCCTAGATGGCTTTTCTACTCACTGTGCTTTGCAGTAAAAAGAATTGACACATTAATATTTCTATTTTCAGACTGGAGAACTTGATTTCAACAGTAGTCTGTATTTTAAAACATTATTTTACTCATAAATATGTACCTTCAATATAACCATAATACCATTATCACACCCAAGTACATCAGTTCCTTAATACCATCAAATATTCCATTTAAGTTTATCTTGTAAATCTCTCTCTTTTTAAATAATATTTATTTTTTAGTAGTTGGAAACAATACCTTTATTTTATTTATTTTTATGTGGTGCTGAGGATCGAACACAGGCTCAGCGGTAGAGCTGAGCCACAACCCCAGCCCCTAAATCTGTCTTTTTAAAACAGTCTCTTRTTTGAATAAGTTTCCWAATAAAACTTGGTTTTTGAGTCTTTTAATCAGAAAGAAGTCAGGTCCTAATGAACTTGAAATTTTGGTACTCCAATATACTGCGGGCAGTTTCAGTAGTGCTAGCAGCAAAGCCTTAAAATATCAAGTCACAATCAACTAGAAATGGACTGTATATGACTATACATAATTAGGGAAAATAAAATTGATGATCACTTGATATTAGTTGTTTGGACATGACCTTTAGAAGTAAAAGGTAAAGGAGAAATTATAATATCATATTTTTGAAGGAACTTTCTTCAGCTAATATTTTGGGGATACAAGAAGAAATCTCCTTTTGTTGTTCTCGCCACTTAAGTATATTCTCTGCCAGTTCTTCTGTCTCAGTCACCAAAACATCCATCTTGGTTAAAGCCTTGCTCTGTAATATTTAAATGAAAGGGAAAATAGAAATTATGTCTGTCATTATTTCATTATCATTAGATCACAAACAGTTGCACCAAAAGTTAACATCTGACCTTTTTCTAGCCCCTTACTGCAAAAGCTCCTTAAAACTATGCTCTCCCCATCTTACAATACCCACCTTCTCTTTGGGAGTTCACCTCTTCTTTGTCCTCAATAATCAATAACAATGATCCTCAATCTCTAAATAGTTAAAATCTAACCTCCTTGCTAAAATGCAGACCCATGTTTAAGGCCATTGGCAATCTTCATCTGGATTTACAATTTCTCAAACTCAATTTAACTGCAGTTCAACAATGACTGAACATTTACTACATGTGCCAAAAAAAGCCACCATCATTAACTTCTTTAATCCATACTTGACCCTACTCAGATAGGTTAACAACTTCATTACCTTGGATGTACCTGCCTTTCCAAATGTAGCAAAGATCTAGAAATGTGACCACAAAAAAAACTAAAAACAAAACAAAAACTCTATACAATCCTTTGTATTCCTGTGCTTTAAATCCTTTATAAAAATACTATATTTAGTCTCCAAGTTTCTCTTGACTTTTCCTCTAATTCAGAGCAGATCAGATCTTAATATACACAGGAATCCCCTGAAGAACTTATTAAAATGCAGATTCTGACTCTGAAAGTGTAGGGTGAATGAATACCTCCGCTTCCCCTTCTCTTTCTTTCTTTCATGCTAGAGATAGAACCTAGGCTTCATACATGCTAGGCAGATACTCTACCACTGATCTAATCTCCAAACCTGTAATTCTGGAAAAAAAAAAAAAAGCTTTTAGGTGATGCTGTCCATAATGTGAGTAGCAAGGCTGTCTACCCTATTCAATATTTTCTATGTGAATGTGATTAAGGTACCGTTCTCTAACCAGGTCACTCTTCTGTATCCTTCACTAAAAAATCAAAACAATTCATTCAATGGTTACCAGCCCTGATACCTTTAGGCATCAGTCAAAGTAAAGTGTCATTTTCTCCCCCAACTACTTGTGCTCTCTTTCATGTGAGACATTGTTGCTTTGGTCAAACTGTTCTTCCTGAGGAGTGTCTAAATTTCATAATTCTTTAAGATTCAGCTCTCTACTAATTCCCATATAAAACTTTTTAAAGTCTTCCTATATCCTATTCTGCTCTCAATTCCCCTACACTGGAAGTAATCACTCCCTTTTCTGTGTACAATAGACAGTATCTCTTTATAATGTTATGCTGAACTTATGCAAATATACTCCTATAAAACAGTGTGAATCTTATAGCTGTCTCACCAAACTGAGAATTTGAGAGCAGAGATCAGTCTTATGTATTTTTCTTGATACATGCATGTAGCATAGCCTTTGCATGATGAAGATAATATACACTCAATTAAATGTTGGAGTAGCTTCTAAAGAAAAATGATGCCAAGCTTTTTGACTTTAAAAATAATTAGTTTAGGGCAGTGTAAGCCATTGTGGGTGGTGAGGTGGCCACCATGGTGGAGAAGCTGGTTTCCAGGGTGCAGCAGGTAGCCAACTTCACCAAGTTCTGCTCCTGCTCAGAGAACAAGAAGAAATGGAAGGCCCACATGGAATTCATCCTGCACTACCAGCCGAATTATCATGACCCACCTAACACTGGTGGCTGCCTAGGCTAGCTGTTGTCCCTCTCCATGGTCTGGGTCAACCATCTTTTCCTGAGTTGCAGTTAATAAATAATAAAGACCTTCTAGCCAAGGTTATGGAAATGGCTGGTAGCACTGATGTGGAAGACCTGCCACCATTCACTCCTGGAAGTGAATCAATGAAAAAGCAAGGCTAAAGCAGAAGATGTATCACATTTACGTCATGGGTCACAGGCTTAGTAAGGAGGCTGTAATGAATGTGACAGTGCACAGCAGCTCTTAAGACTCCTGGGAGAAGCAGCTGGAATAAAAAGGTATCTGTCCAGATTGGTTTTTAGAAGTCATCATTCCTTCTAGTAGCTACCACTGTAAAAATACGCATGGAAATTTATATATTTATAATACATGCACTCTAAGATGATTTCATGAACATACAAGCCTTTGTTTAAAATGTCCTTTTTTAAAGGTGGTGATGTAATAGTGACAGGTCATGAGTTTTATAGTTTGGATTTATTTATATTTTTGGTACCAGGGATTGAACCCAGGGGCAATCAACTAGCAAAAGCAAGGTGCTAAGTAACTCAGTGAGATACTATCTCTAAATAAAATACAAAATGGGCTGGGAATGTAGCTCAGTGGTCGAGTGCTACTGATTTCAATCCCTGACACCCCCCAAAATAAAGAAAGATAGAAAGGAAGGGAGGGAGGATAGGTTGGGGATGTAGTTCAGTGGTAGAGTACTTACCTAGCATGCACAAGTCCGGGTTCAATCCACAGTACCATGGGGTCAGGGGGCCGGGGGAGTTAAACAAGGAGATCACACATTTGATATTCAAGTATAAAAGAACTAAAGAAAGCTATATTAATACTCGCCATTTTCTTTAGATTTGCATCTAAATGAGGGATATTTCTAATTGTTTCAAGATGGGTTTCCAATCTCTCAATGAAAGACACAGCCAACTCCAGCAAATGTACCATATATCTGAAAGAGTGAGAAAAAAATCCAACTATTTTTAAAACTTAATTATTTTGTGTCTCCCTTCTTTTCCTTTAATTAGGACTTTAGTTTAAAATAAAGAATTACAATCAACTTAATGTGTCAATAACAAACTTTCTGAATTCCTGGAAGTATCAGTGATAAAGAAAGGTCCTTCTCTTTCACTTGAAGAAACATATAACTTGTTATCCAAATAGAAAAACAGAAAAATATGACATTAATCATCATATCTGGAACCCAACCTAATGGTAGATAATGATAGTAATGTTCATACAGAAGGAATTTCCCTAGATAAAATCTCAATCCATTTCAATCTACTCATTTTCAGTGAAGAGAAGACAATAGGGAAAACTATATTACATTGAAGTAGTCTTCACATTAAGGTAATAAATGCTTAAAATCATTAAATGCCTAAAATCATTAGCTCTTCTTTAATGTAGTATAACATACACATTAATGGCTAGATACTGAATACAAGAATGGGGTTTTGTATGTCTGTTATTTTACTAAAAATAAAAAAATTCTGCCACTTAAGAGAAGATAATCTTCAAGGTGCAGTGGTGCATGCCTATAATCCCAGCAGCTCAGAAGGCTGAGGCAGGAGGATCTTGAGTTCAAAGCCAGCCTCAGCAACTTAGCAAGGCACTTATCAACTCAGTGAGACCCTGTATCTAAATAAAAGATATAAAAAGACTGGGGATGTGGCTCAGTGGCTGAGCACCCCTGGGTTCAATCCTAAGTACAAAAAAAAAAAAAAAAAAGATAATCCCAGCTACTTAGGAAGTTGAGGCAAGAGGATAGCAAGTTGAAGGCCAGCATGGGCAACATGACAAGATCCCATCATAAAAAGAGAGGTAGAGGGGTAGAGAGGGGATACTGATTTGCTCAGGGTCAGCTAGTGAGGCAATGATAGAGAAAGAAATCAGATTCCCAGATGCTTGCTTTACTATTGTATTATTATTTTAATCATAACCTAGATCTTCAAGTTTATACTTATAGTATTTCTATGAGAAAGACAGCAACAGAAATAATCCCTATTCTGCAGACTAGAAAACTGAAGCAAAAACTGTTATCATTTTGCTCAGTTGAGATGAAACCAGAATCTGGTTTTTCCTTTTTTTTAAATATTTCTAGTTGTAGATGGATAACTTTATTTTTTTATGTGGTGTTGGGGATCGAACACAGTGTCTCACATGTGCTAGGCAAGTGCTCTACCCCTGAGCCATAACCTAAGACCCAGTTTTCCCTTTCCTTTCTTTTTTAAGGTACCAGGGATTGAACTCAGGGTCACTCAAGCACTGAGTCACATCCGCAGCCCAATTTTGTATTTTATATAGAGACAGGGTCTCACTGAGTTGCTTAGCCCCTCGCCTTTGCTGAGGCTGGCTTTGAATTCATGATCCTCATGCCTTGAGCTGCTAGGATGACAGGCGTGCTCCATGGCACCCAACTTGTTTTTCCTTTCTTTCTTTTCTTTTTTTGAAGTTGTAGATGGACAGCATGCCTTTATTTTATTTGTTTATTTTTATGTGGTGCTGAGGATCAAATCCAGTGCCTCGCACGTGCAAGGCAAGCGCTCTGCCACTGAGCTACAGCCCCAGCCCCGTTTTTCCTTTATTAATTGACATTTTTTTCTTCTGTCCATGTTATGTACAGAATTTTTATGTATAGGTAACATTAATTCAACAATACATTTATTTCACAGAAAATAGTCTATATGTAATAAAACCAATTTTTACCCACCTTGCCAAGTGTTAAGGATCTACTTTTTCACTAAAATCATAATTTATAATTCCCAAAACACAATAGGCAAATGGAAGTTCTTTCTTTTCACCATAGTGATACTTCTTTTAAAGCAAAGATTTTTCTTTCTGGTTTAATGTATCTGGTTTAATGTTAACCAACACATCAATAACACATTGTTTAGTGAATTATGCTTCAAGGTTCACCCTCAGAAAACATGTACAAGTATTCCTTTCTTCTTCTCAGTCTAACCTGTGATAAAAAGCCTCCAAAGGTAAGTTTTCCTGGCACATGGGTTTCAACAGTCTTTGCCTGAGGGACCTCTTTTCTTTCAGCACAGCTTCCAG